ATCTTTACAGAGCTTTTTAAGAAGACATTTACAGCCTAACTTACATCAACAAGCAGTGGTAGCCTGGTAATTCTTTGCATCGGAAGAACCAAGAATGATTGCAAACTAAGACATTGAGCAGCAGCACTCTTTTCTAATTTCTCTATACCTTCCAAGTATCGTGGTGACTTTCTAGCATTTGAATTAAATGATAATACACATAATTTTTATATCCAAACAAACAATTTTTTAAAAGATTGGCAGCAACAGTTGGTAAATATAAAAAACATACAAACAACAATTCACCTTAAATCTTTCAGAACTCTGTCTTGATGAATTTGGTTAGAACAATATTTGACATAAACATCAAAATGTTTGGAAGCCTTTTGAGATAACAAAATAAACTAGTATTAATAAATTAAATGGCTTTGCATTATGTCTGCTGATAGAATGCCAGACAAACCAACCATTCAACAATACAGGAGGAATCTGAKACTGAGAGAGAGAGCAACCTTATTAAAATAATTACTATATGGATATTGGCTGCAAACAAGAGTCAGTTTTTCAGCAACATTTCTCTGGTTCAATACATGCACTTCAAATTTAATGCAAATAGCTGCTCTGTTATTTGAAGACAGATTCTCTTGCATAAGACCTTTATACCGAAAATAAAACAACTAACAGTTGATGCTAACCCTACTGTATTCAGTTTTAAAAAAAAGCAAATTTAGTAATAAAAACTTTTTATCATGCTTTCTTCTGTGACTGTATTACTGTCAATATATAAAATAGAGGTTATTATATTATATACTATATATACTATATTATAGCTATCATAGTACGCACTCTCTGATTTGGTCAAATGTTATTGTTTATTTCACCAAATGCACGGATGCGAAAATGCTATAATATAAAAGCAATAAACAACATATTGTGCGTTCCTGGTGAAATAAACCACTTGGGATAATGGGAAAACACTCAAAAGGCTGATAATGAAAATCTCTTGCCTCTGGCTCGAGATTTTTTATGCCTTTTTCGTGTTGTCACAACATCCTGCATGGTTTATTTCACCAGGAACGCACGAAAATGTGTAGTTGTTTATTGCTTAAAATGAATACTCCATTTTACAGTTCCAGGCGCCATCTTGAAAGGTAGCCAAGCCTTTGCATGAAAGCAAGACTGGAGTTGATTCTGCAATGATAGATACCTTTTGTTCGACACATAAGACAATTATTCACAGGTATCTATCACTGTAAGCTCAAATACTGCCTCGCTTTGACGCAAAGGCTCGGCTACCTTTCAATATGGCGCCTGGAACTGTAAAATGGAGTATTTGGGGGTGACTCGCAGCTTGGCACATTCCTGCCCAAAACTGGAAGAAATAATATAATGTATCAATTCTAGCTAGTATGTGGGAGAATTAATTAAACTTACAAATTCAAGGATGATGTCACTTATTGAGGACACAACCAGAGATTCTTTGCTTCGCTGACGTAAAGTATCTAAGTACCTAAAATACCAAATGAAAATGAAATGAAATTGGATGGGATAGAATCAGATAGGATAGTACTGGATAGGAATTAAATGATTTCAAGAATGCCAGTTCATTTTTTATCTGGTCATACTATATGTAATAAACCAGCACCTAACAAATCTGGAACACAAACTACTTGGGTATGTCTAGCATCATAATTATTTTTCATACTTTAAGTTAATGTTCCAACAAAGAGGATAGTCTTTTAAAAAGTGCCATTAATTTGCTTACATTTGGCTCATTTCTACCACTGTGTCAACATTGGAAAACAAAGTATGATGTTGAGCCTTTTCTATTACACTTTGTGGTGTCCCAGGTGTCAGTTCAGGTGAGCTGATGAAATGGTCTTTAAGAATTTTTAAGCTTTTGAGATAGGAAGCTTCTGATGTTATGACCTCAAACATTGCCTGCAATAATCAATAATACACTTGTATGTATTGATATCATGACATGAGATGATATTAACAGACATATCATTGGCCCTTAAACCAATGTAATGCTTGAATTCTAACAGCCAAAGCATTGACGCCCAACCTGTTCTATACACCTCAATCATTTCGTGTTTTSATGTGAGTCAATTGTCATCACCATTAAACAAAAGAAGTCCAACTTTAATATACTATTCCATATGGAATTGTTGTACAATACATTATTATTGTTAGCTTCATATATTCAAGAGTATCAAAGATTGCTTAATAGTCATACCTCTTGTCTTTTGCGTTCATTTGCATCAATTGCTTTGAGAATACCACTAGACAGAACCTGAAGACAAAACAATGGCCATAAATAATAATAATAAACTGTTGATAACTATAGACAAGTTAATTTCATTGGCAACACTTTATTTGACTGGTATTGATCTAGTTTCAGATAAYCCCCTGAATATTCAATACTAGAGATCTAGAGAAAACTGAGAAGAGAGTATTTGACCTTTGACAAGTGGTTTAATCAATTAAATATACCTCTGGAAGCTCACACCATAACATTCTCATGTTTCTAAGTGTTCCTTTGGTGATATCCTCAAGGCTTGGATCGTTTTGATCTGAGTCTGTTCTCTTTCTGCTTAAGGTTCTGTCACGCTGTAAAGTTCTTGCTGTGTACACTTGGTATAATGGCTCTACAAGAAAGATCAATACAAAACTCTTGTAGAGCTTGGTAAAAACAACAAACTAACAAAAAAAAAACACAAAAAACTACCTGCAATATTTAATATATGTGTATTTCACTATAACTATACAATTATTATGTCATTGTAATATAATATTGAAATTGATTTTAGAATAAGACAACATTTAATTATAATTATATTTATGTATGAGACCATATCAAGGAAAACAGATTGGGGGTAGGTGATTTTCCAGCTCTTTGCAAAAACACCTGTTGTAAAAAACGTTACTCTTTAAAAAATCATTATTTTTGTTTCTGAAGTTTCTGAAGCAACTTCGATTTCAACAAAATCCCTTTAGGAATTTCTCTTCCTTTTGATACCAAATTAACATTGATTAGCTACTCATTTGGGTACAAAATCAATTAGAGTGAAGTCATAAATTAATGAAAAAAAGCCAGTCCAGTCCAAATTCTATTTATCTCAGCCATTAATTTTTCCATTTTTCYCTATATACAGCTTTTGGAATTTCTTTCTCTTTGGCCCCAGCTTCAGAACATGACCTTCTCTTAATTGTACTAACTAATAGAGTTAGTAATAACATAATAGACGATAYGCATTATGGCGTCATTTACTACAACTACACCAGAATGCTTTGCCAAGTTTCTTTTGTAAAAATGCAATTAGTGCAAATTGTTTTATTAATCTCCAAGGGGATTAAAAATCTGAATAACAATGAAAATGTGCAAGGCTCTCTGGTAGTTGTGGTAAAGTTACGTCATAATAAAACRGCCTATTATCAGCAAATCACAAATCTTGACAATCATTAAAATACCTTCTCCACTTGTTTCATCATCTAAAAGACAATAAAAAGAAAAGGTGAAAAAACTAAGATGTTCATTTTGATAAAAATAATGTGTCAGCATTATCACAATGATCTGAGTAAAAATCACAACTGCAGTAGTTACCTAATAACATATCAAAATCTTCCATAGCATCGGGAGGCTGAAGAGAAATTAATGAGCACTATCAAGAATATGACCTTCCAGTTTTATTTGGCTATTACAGGTAAAGAATAATGAACTTTTGCCTTCTGGTGCATCATATGAAGCATATCAATATAGAAATCCAATTAATATCTAATGATGTCATGTAATGAAAAAATAACATGATAATCATGGTGATGATAATTTTGATAGGGATAATTGATGATACATGTACATGTTATATCTTCTCTTTTCACTTACTTCTACATAGTCACCTTCCCCATCTTCTTCCTCATCTTCTTCCTCATCTTCATCCTCATCTTCATCCTCATCCCATTCATTGGGTGATGTGATGTCATAGCTGCCACAATGTCGTGAGGGAACTGGTGGAGGAGAGTCACATGGATCCTCATAATCATGTTCACTGTCAGAACTTGACTTATCTGGATCTAAAGGACAACAGTTTATTCAAGCTATCTGTACTAAATATACTTTGGGTAAAGCAAAGAGAATTAAAGTGTACATCCAATAAGCCTTAGAACAAGACCTACATGTATGGGACACCATTAGAGAATAGCTTTTAACACTGAAATTGTTTTACTTGCAACAAAATGTGCAACACAACAAACTAGATGCTGTAACAGCACAAAGTTGACTTAGCTAATATAGTAATAATGGAATAGAGAAAAATTGGTTATGTGTAATTTATCCTTTCAAAACCTGATTTGGCCGGTCATCTATCGATTTTGGAAGGACATTGTCCTTTGACGGCCATTATTTCGAGCCCTGTACATGGCTAGTGTGACTAATAAAAGGAAATTTAGATTTACACCTACAAGGCAAGACATAAATTTCTCTTCAGCTTACCTTCATCATRAATCTCTCTTTCTGGGATTTCGTAAGTCCCATCAGAAACACATCCATCTTTGTTGTTGATTGCTTCCATGAACCCAGCAACAGTTGCAGAGTCTGGCTCGACATATGAAGCATCTTCTACTTCTGCACTAATATTTTCTGATGACTTGTTCACTGGAGGTTGGAGTGGGGTTGGTACAAATGTGTGTTCATATGCATACGAATATAGAGATTGCTCTGAGAACAAAAATATTCAACAATATAATTATATTTACTGATTAGCTGATAAGTCAATAATATCAGATAATATACTCAGAATTTTAATACTTTTATAATTAATAAACAAGCAAGGAAACTTAAAGCCTGAGTTGTATAAACATATCAGGGAATAGCTGAAGACACATTGTTTTAAAAACGAAAACAGTTTAACATATAGCATGAAACACATTGTATAAGCTGCTTTAAAATGCAATTGCTCAGTCAATCAAAAATACCTTCTGCTGTTTTAGATATGTTCTCTGTAGACCTTGCTTTGGGCAAGTCATCACTGACTGATAACCGATCACGTGGTACTGAGGGACCCTTAAGTGAACCTCCTCTCTTTGGTGGACTGCCTTCTTCTGCCTCTGGAGGAGGGGGAGGGGGCCTTCGTTTCATCTCTTCTATAGGAATAACATTAGTTTTTCCAGGGTTTTGTCGTCGTGTTGCAATGCGTTTCTTTATTGGTCTTACTGGGGACTTATCACTTGGCTGATCTATAATTATATTGCAAAATATATCAAGTATTGTTCACAGATTTTGGTTACAMAAAATGCCATTAATTATAACAGCTTTCCAGTCAATAGGCTTCTGTGATAATGAAGTATGGAACCTGAGTATGCTACAWACCCAGGGGTGCATGTAGCATACTCAGGTATACTTTTGCTATACGGGGACGTGCCGCTGACCAGGGTATGATTTTTGGCCTTGCTGTCTTAAACAGGGTATACATTTCACCCAAAATTGTCTTAAACAGGCTCTACAATTTAGATAAAAACCGATATAATTTTTTTGTGTGTGTCTTGGAYAGGGTAATATTTTCATAAGAAATACCGTTTCACTGTAGCAGGATTAACGTGTTATCAAAAACTTCTTATTGTCTTTGATGGATGTCAGTATAATTGCAGTTTTGATGGTGATGGTGTGGCGAGGATAGCGATTTCTTATTTTTCCGATTTGTCTTGAACGGGTATAGATTTTTACTTTCTAGTGTCTTAAACAGGGTAAGGGTTTTAGACAGCTGACGGCACATACCTATCCAAAACGGGGTCGAGTATCCCCCTCTCCCCCTCCCCCCTGGGGCTACATGTTGAAAGATGTAACTATTTTCCCTACTACCTTTATTTGGAATTCAAAGAGTCCAGAACCTATAATCATGGCATTTTGGTTACTGGTGCCTATGAAATCTGGTATAATATATAATATTCTGAAGTTTGTCCCTAAGCTAAATAATCTTATTCTAGAATCTGTCACCAATGCATTTGGGGATTAAGTGAAAAGATCTAGGAAAGGACCTATGGAATTCACAATATCCAGAACCTAGCCCAAGAGATTCTATAAATGGATGCTGGAGTTAGAATTCTTTTTACTTTTATGGACACAACACTATCACTGAAGAATCCTTTTATTAGTAAAGCATTAATTCTCATGTTACAGCAAGTAACAGCTTGCATGCTTAAATCTGATTTCCTGTGTTCAGAAAATGGCAGATAAGATTTACTTTATTATGTAGAGTGGATGCATTCAATCAGCAAAACCTATAAAATAGTATTGTGTAATCAGTAATTAGTACTAATGTTTCACAGATTTAGTACGTCCACTCTATCCACTGAAAAAGTAAAAAAAAATATCCAGTAGTTTATCAATGTTTCACAGATTTARWACGTCCACTCTACCCACTGAAAAAGTAAAAAAAAATTATCCAGTAGTTTATCACCAATTTCTTTCAGATCATAATTTTCACTTAATGTTTCCATTTACATTTATTTAGATGATTAGGTTTATTTTGAAAACACTGCAGCAGTCAATATCAATGGCTGACTTATTTTATGATTTGCTTAAGCATCTGTATCATTATTTAATTTAATGCAGAGCTGGAGGTTGAAATTACAAACAAAGCAAATTAACAAAGACCAGCAACAATTACTGCAGTATTGCACGACTAACATACACAAAACAAAGCAATTAAATTATCAAAAAGTAACAGAACTATTAAATGTAGACATAAAGACTTACAGACAATTATACAGGTAAGATAATTTCTATATTTCAGATTAATACAAAGTTAGCTATAATTAATATATAATTTGATTGACCTAAATTAAAGTTGTAGAATAGATACATGCAGATACTGCAAATATTAGAGAGAATAGATATCAGATTATGCAATGATCATTAGAAATATCAATCATTAGAAATATCAATAAATTAGAAATATCAAATTGAATAATTAGAAATATCAATATCATTAGACATCTATTAGTCAGAGAAAGAGAAGTGATTTAGTGACAGGGAAATACATTATAGAGATAATAGAGGGGTTACGTTTTTAAATCTCCTAATGAATTCCTTTCTAACTACCTCACTTCATTCTTGAAACTGAGTGAATATATGTACATTAGGCATATTAACAGAAAKATGATAGATATGACATGTAACACACAAAATATAAGCACATGACCAGACATTAACACCACTAGAAAAAAAAAATACCAACATATAATACTAACAATACCTCCTGTACATGAACTGACTTYGTTAAATATCACTTTATCAGAATATAATTCATTTTCAACAGAGTTGGCTTGCTCCTCTATTGCTGTACCTACAAATAACAGTCCAATATTTTCACTTTCATTCTAATTGTTAATTTAAGTTTATTTTGGTAACAATTAGTTTGGCACTGAGTGTGTAATCTTCTTCGGTTGTATTCCTCATTCACCAAGGAGTGAACAAAATAACGCCTGCCTGGGTACATTGAGATGAAACAAGAGTTGATCAGAACATGAAGAAAGTCTGTTCAAGTTCTCCTGCACTTTATATGCAGCTACTATCTTCAAATCATTATAATACATGTAATCCAAGTTTGAGTTCTTGTTTTTTTTATTGAACATGAATTTTTATATGTTGATCATGCTGTCAACTTCTTTGCAAGATACTGCAAGTGATATGGTGAGTTTATATCTTCAATGAATACTGTACCTTCACCAGAGCTTTTATTGAGTTTAGAATTAGCTTGAAGCCACACTGGTTTGGGCGGCTTTTGAGGTTTGGGTCGTTCATTAGTGAGATAAGTTTGCTCATTATCTGAAAAAGATCCYTCTAAATGATTTCACCTAAAATAAACAGAGGACACAAAACAAAACAGAAACACACAACAAAAACACCCAACCAAACCCACAAAAAARAAATCCAACTTAAATCTAACCTTMTCAGAAACAACACAGAAAGACAAATTATACGTTTTAAAGTTTATGTGTATAATGAAACAATTTTTTYTATAGTTGATTTTCATAACTCCATTACTGAACAGTATAATATTTGTGTCAGAGATTCAGCTTCCTAACAAGAAGGCCATCATACAACATATGATATGAGGTAAACAACTAATTATTAACCTTTACAACTTAACTTTGTTGATTTACAATTTTTTATTGACATTAATTTATTATCATTACTATTAAAATCATATTTTGCTATAGACAAAATATAATATGAGCTTTTTACGATGAGTACAATCAATTTAAGTAATGCCCCGAGTAAGAACTAGGGAAGCACACGGCAAAGGAATGCAAGAAGGTGATAATTGTGCATTGTATAATCCATCCATCCCATTGGATAAAACTTGAAAATCTGCTATAATTTTACAAGTTAGCGCAATTTCTAATATTTTATTTGTTGTCTGTTTTCACTTTCATGAAAGCTTTCTGTAGCTTCAATATTAAGGCAATTCTATGTGGGGAAAATAGCAAATTAGAAGCATCTTTTGGCTATTGTTTTGAGTGCTTATGATTGGATAAGAGCTTTTAATACAAAAGAAGCTTTGTTTCAAAATAGAGTTAATCAACATTTTATTTCAAAAATGTGTTACCCATAGGTTGATATATAATCAAAGTGAAAACCAAGACATTCGTATGTGKGAAAGTTGCAATGCTGCAGAACAATAGAGAGTTCCCTAGTTCTTAATCGCATTGTTACTTAAAAGAAATGGAGTTTAATTATAAGTTAAACTTATCTTTAGCAATTAAGGCATTATCAATCATGTCCAACAAGATTGAAAGTATATTTTACAGTAGCTTTTATCAACAAAGGAAATGTAATTGATTCAGTTTTAATTGTGTTATCAATCAAGATAAAGGGAATCATTGCCTGTTTGAATCGCCATGACGTTTGATTTCTAAATAATTCCATGGATCTTTCTTATGGCTAGTTGATGTAAGAATTTTCAAGATCAATTGGTTTTGCAGAGGGTAATACTAAATATAGATTATTTCATTTGAGACAAAAACTTACTTTTGCCATCTTCTGCCGTCRCTGTCTCTTCTGTAAYACCAAAATCTGACCTAGGRCTCCTATTATCCTTAGGAGAACGTACTGGGGAGGCTTGTGGGGATGTTCTTGATGTGGGAATAGGTCTCACAGTTAAGCCATCTTTTATAAGTTTTTCTGGAGATTCTGTCTTGACTGGAAGTGAAGGAAGAGGTTTTCTTGGGGGAGGTGGCTTGTTACTAATATCACCTATCTTGTCACTAAAATGATCATAGATCATCATGAATTATAACACTATATCAAACCACACTTTGTTGTACTTGACGATATGAAATCAATATAGTGGCGTTCCCCCCCCTGGGGAACTCATTAGTTAACATAAAGTAAGCTATAGTAGATGGATACTCTACTAAGCTCCTTGAAACTTTATGGTCAGCAAGCCACAGGTATCCCAACGTCAACACTTTTTGTATTTGATCTGAAGGCTTTATAGAGAAAACAAAATTCCAACAACATGCATTCAAACTCACACAGTATCATGTGCTTAACTTATTTCACATCTACATGAAGTAGAAAAACACTGTTTATTTTCTCTTTGGAGAGCTGAAACATCACTGTATGAGTTTAAAAGTATTTTGTTGAACTTTAAATTTTCTTTAGAATAAAACCTTCAGAGCATAGCAGACAAGTGATGAGCTTGGGCTACCTATAAGGAAACATATAATCCTAAGCCCCATAGTCTTCATGAAATTGTAAGTGAATTAAATMTTGAAGTTAGCATTATGTTTATTGGAATTGCCTATTAATAGTCATTAGAGCATTAATTTTTTTTACTATACATTTCTTAATGTGCTACTAGTGAAATACCTGTCATCAAAGATGAGATCATCATAGACATTCTCCTCGTCACTTCCACTTCCTTTACTGCTTATAAGAATATCATTATCTTAATCATCTTAATGCACTGAACTGCTATCATCCATTACCATCTGCACAAAAACAATTCTGACCACCTTCTGTAGTTGCTATCATAATACTTTCATGATAAATTACATACAAATGTAACTGCAGTAGAAGGGAAGGTTTTACCACAGATCTACTCTTCATCAAAATGAAAAACTTACAACTGTACAAATGTTGATTATAAAATCAGATTTGCATCTAACTTTTGATGCTATTGTTAGATGATTCTAATAACTTTGTTAAAATAAAGTTGCTGTTACTACACCTACTTGCAGAAACGTTGTCATAGAAAATAGAACATTCGAATTTAGTAAAAAGGAATAAATTAAAACAAAACAAAAGAAAGTGTTCAGCCTCAGTGATCTTCTTTTGTCTTTTTAATTTATTCCTTTTTAATAAAATACAAATGTCCTATTTTTTTATGACAACGTTTTCGCAAGTAGGTGTATTTACATGTACAATTACCATTAATTACCATGCTCAGCTTCTATGCTCTAATAGACTGTAGCATACTTTGCAATAAAAGTTGAATATACAAATATGGTACTCCTAATAATACTACAAACTACAACAAATTATAAGACTGATCCCTACCTTTCCACTATGACATCATCATACAAGTCTTCATTTGTTTCTGCAGGAACTTCTTCATTGTCATTTGATGTACTATTGTTCTTTCTTAAGTGAGCTGGTTTGAAAGGCCTTTCTGGTATTGTAACCTTGTTATTGTCATTATTGATATCTTTCCTTGGGACTGGTGGTGGTCGTCGTGGCTTAGGGCGGAGTGGAGGTTTGCTACTCAGGGCAGTAATATCAGGTTTGGGTGGTGGTCGTGGTTTAGGTACTGGCTTACTCATGCTGGATCTGCATTCACAACTAGATATACATAGTAAATTTATTAAACTGATCGAGTTCGCTCTATGTTTACATCTGATAAAATTTTAATTATGCACTSCAAACGGATAGCGTTGCGTGACAGCAGAGGACAGTTGCTTTAGGAGTTTACAACGTGAACTATGACAGACTGAATTWTAGAAAAGGTTTGTTCCTGGAGCAAATCTAAACAATAAATATCCTGTTTTTTCAAAATAAGAAATCACAAGTCATTGTAAACCTTCTGATTTCAACGAGCCTTCCCCCCGGCAAGCTTAAAAGGTCCAGTGTTCTTCAGTTTATTGTTCTTTTTTTAAATACTTTTAAATACTGAAATGAACTGRTTTTTGGTAGGTTGGAAAATCTGCCACAGATGGACCAGGAAAGCGATCTTACAATGATGTCTCCAGTTCAAAACAAACCGTGACTTGGAGCCATTGTCTTCGAATAACTCTCAAAAATATATAGGCCCTCAATTATTTTTTAGATGAAAATCTTCCTCATCTGAGCATTTTATGCCCTTTGATCTGAAAAAGGAGGTAATTATCCTGCTGTACAGCCAAACATCTAGTAAAATTCTTAGTTGGAGCCCTACTAGCAAAACTACTACCAGTAGTCAGTGCATCCATTTTTTAATAGAAAACAATCTGTAGAATTTAGCACTATTTCATCAATTTYAAATTATTTCAATTTAACTTTTTCATGCTTTTATTGTCTGCACTCTTTCTTTTAAATATTTAAGCAAAGAATATAATTATGTATAGGATAATGGATGAGCTCCAAGGGCATTATCCCATTTCATTTTAATATATACTCTCATTGTTTTCGAAGAAACAAAACCAAGCCTTTCAAAACTGTGTTGTTCGTGTTTTACAATAAGCAGGCTAATTAATGGTTTTAGTTTTGAGTGTTTTTTTAAAACCCATTGTACCATTAAAACTTTTACATACAATGAAAACTATAAATCTGAAATCTTATTGGCTTTAAGTAAGTATAACAATCTCTACGCTTTGTACTTCAAATTATATACTGCAATTTAATTCCATTGTGTYGGAAAACACCATTGAAAGGCTTGTGAGTTTTTGCATATTCACGATGCCATTGACTATAAAARAGAATATTGGCTTTTCACATGTGCATTTTATTGAGTTCACTTGACGAAGAACTTTGTTGAGATGGACATGAGATGCTTGAAAGTGCTGTACAGGCACCAATGTCATTTGACAAGGATGACAATAGCTGTCCTATTACAGAGGGTGCACAGTTTTGAAAAGAGAAGTCTTCTTTAACTGGCGAAGGTAATTTCACTGATTCTGTTGATTATTTCATGCGACGCTATTGTCTTGACTTTGAACTGCTGTTTTTAACTAGTAAATGAATGATTTTTTTATCTATTGAAGACAAGAAAGTCAAGGAGCCTCAGACAGCAAAGTCGCTTCAATAATTCAAGAGAGGAATTTAGTAGAACTAGCAGAGGCGTCAATTCCAATCAATACAAAGAGAAAAGCAATCTGGATGGCTTCCTGTTTATACCAAAGTTGGGCAATTTGGCGAAAGAGCTCGCCTATATATGAGAAGTCTATGGTTTTGAAATACTGTAATAAAGAATACGACAGAATTGTTGGATATCAAGCAAGACGAAAACCTGTGGACGTTCTTGGCAAATTTAATGTTTTGTTGTTTCTGCATGTTTTTGTTTGTGAAGTACTTTTTTAGCTTAAATTGCACACAGGTCAATATTATGTTCAGCAAGATGTGACAGTAGGTCGTGTTTGTCAAAATAATGACCTCCTGTTCCGACTCAGTGCACATAATAATGACCTGTTTGTAGTTTGAAAGTAATAAATTCACCACCCCCGCTCTTCCCTGCTGAATTCAAAACCCTCCCTGGCGTTAAGAATCTTTGATTATCGGAAGTACAGAATGCTTCAAAACGAGAGTATATATTATAGTGAAAATAAAGCTTATTTTGATATCATTTGTTCCAACACCTCTGATGTCTTGACCTATTAACAGATCAATGATCAATGCCACCAAGCAAACCCAAACTTGAAATGGAGTTAAAATACATTTTATACTATTTAATTGAATAAGGCTGAATATAAGCTTACGGTGATATAAAAGACGTCATGAATGCCTATGCATGCTCTTTTCATTTGACTTCAATCAAATATACACTCCCTCTTGGGTCATGTTGCACTCACGATTTTTTGATGCATTTCGTAATTTCGTAACTCTCAACAATTTACAATTAATTTCAAGCTATGACAGATTAAAATTAACATCAATTGTGGAACAAATACAGTTTAATGTTGACAAGGTTAAATTGAGTTATTTTTAAGCTTAACTTTTGGCAAAACACCTAAAATTAACTTAACTTATGGATTCTGGAATAACCTACAAGAACGTTGAACATAATAAATTTGAATTTTGCTTCGCCAGTAATAAAACGTTTTTTAAAGAAACTCTAGAGATGAAACTCACCACTTATGCTTAAGTTGTCTTTGTCCTGAGGTTTACCACATTTGGAACCAAATCTATTCTCTTCTTCCTACGATGTAACGCAACTAAGATAAATTGYATGAGCTGCTGAACACGTTGCATAAATCATGTTTTTTGCTATTACATGCTGAGGGATGACATCGACATCAAATTTTGAGAGAATTGCATCGTATCGATCGTATCCGGATATATTACTATGGCTATCGTCGATCGGCTGGAACTTTGCAAGCTCTTGGGAGTCTGGCAGCTAATCTTGCAGCCCGCAGAGGTTGATGGGACGATRCCTCACTTGGGTTTTTCAACGGCTTCGCTTTATTGTGCTTGCACGAATTGTTCTTATCTCAGCCAAAACATGAACCATAATGAATTCCTTTTGATAAGTCAAGGTAAGAGGTTGTATTCTTTAGGCTATTTTTTGATTTGTTTGTTTTTGTTTCCACGACTTCAAATGATAGTTGGTGTTAAAAGGAATACCAAGTTTGGCGTTTGGCGACATCATAAGCTTAAGTTAAAAAAACACTTTTTGTGTCTCGATACGAATCCTCGATACCCGGGTGTCAAGTCACACTAAATGTTCTTATTTTTATGTCCCTAGACAGGAGTTTTTCGTTTCTAGATTTACAACTGTCTATCTTTCAAGCGCGAACGAAGGCCGTGTTCACTAGATCGACATCCGAATCGTACTCGCAAACGTCACGAGGTCAATTCGCAAACGTCTCGATATCAGTTCGCAAACGGTTTTTAATTCAGTTTCTGTGTGATTCAGAGGAGATGTCATGGTAAAGAAACATACAACGAGAATTCTAAGGTATATAATTTAACTCACAGGAGCGACTACAGAATACAAGGCCCAAATCGGAGTGGCTTTCAATCTGTGTGGCTAGTCGGCTCGGCACTGATTTTTAATCGGTTTTTATTTATCGACTTTTAATCGGCAACTTTTCGGAAAATTAATTCATAATGCATCTAGCAGTATTTTATTTAGTGGCTC